CTCCTAAGGGCCCTCGGGATCGGGGGCCGGCGCCAGGCCCGATTAGAGCCGACGCGGTGCACCACCTAGCCGTGGAGCCCCCGGTTGAGACGGACGCGCCCTGCGTGGCCGCCGGCGCTAACGGCCACCGCGGTGAAGGTAGGAGGGGCGGCCGCGTCGTGGGCGAGTCTGGGGGAGGCCGCCGGAAACCCGGGGCGTTCAGGCCGCGCGCCAGGCCCGAGGGCCAAGCCGTCAGCCTTTCGCCGGGCGTTCAGGCTTTGCGCCGGGTCTTAAACGGATCTCTTCTTCACAGCCCAAAAGGCAGGTAACTCCGCTTGGGAGGTGAGGGAACTTAGATTCAGTTTGGAAAGACATTGCATTTAAAGGAACAAACACCTGTATTCACACGGAGACGGTAACGGGTAGGAAGCAGTGGGTCGGAAAGCAAACAGGGAGGCGAAGGGACGCTGCTGCTTGGGGTGTCCCTCATTGCGGATGGCAGGGAAATCCGCGTGGCTCAGCCAGGTGGGAAATCACCGCAGCAAGCCGTAGTTTCGGTTAAGGATTGCTACAAAACTGCCTCAGCCATTCATGAGTGGCTTAAAACAGCGATTTATTATTTCGAACATGTATATGGGCGAGGTGGGCGATTCCTCTGCTGCTGTCCCCGGGGCCTACGCAGGGGGCTTCTGTCCCCCAGGGCTGGCGGAGCGCGGGGCTCCAGGCTGGCTTTTCACACCCTTGCCAGGTGGTGCTGCCAGCTGCTGGGGAACCTCAGGTCAGGCTTAAAAATAGCCACGCAGTACTACTGCCCTCTGCTGATGCTACATCTTTCTAAGTTCCATTTCACTGAAATTTGAGGTGGTACAGCCTCCCCCCCACCCTAGTTTCCTACTGAGGTGGTTTCCAAGAATCCGGTTCCCTCCTCCCTCCTCTGAAACGTCTCTCCTTTGGTTATTTCCTGCTAGAACCTTCTTTTACTGACACTCAAACATGGATTCCGCCTTATCCGTACAATCCTGCAGTGACCTCGCTTCTCTTTCCACCTTTTATCCTGTCTGCTTCCCTTCGGAGCTCAGCTTAATTCAAGCAGTTGCTACACATCCAGTATCCACTTCCTCACTTCCCATTCATTATCCAGTATCCGCTTCCTCACTTCCCATTCATTTTTCAACCTACTCCAACATGGCTTCTATTGCCATTATCTCATCAAAAGTGCTTTTTGGGGGGGGGGGGGC